GGTGGTCTAATGGGACACTTCGGGGTTTAAAAGACTTTAGACATGTTAGGGGAACATTTTTATTTGTCTAAAATGCGACATGACGTAGAACAAATATGTGGAAAGTGCATAACTTGTAAAAAGGCTAAGTCTAAGGCTCAACCCCATGGTTTGTATACTCCTTTGCCTATACCTAGTGAACCTTGGGTAGACATATCTATGAACTTTGTGTTAGGTTTGCCTAGGACAAAAAGGAGTCGGGATTCAATATTTGTAGTAGTCGATAGGTTTAGTAAGATGGCGCAGTTCATACCATGTCATAAAACTGACGATGCTACTAATATTGCAGACTTATTCTTTAGGAAAATAGTACGTTTACATGGAGTACCTAAAAGTATAGTGTCTGATAGGGACGTGAAGTTTTTGAGTCATTTTTGGCGTGTTCTGTGGGGTAAGTTAGGAACTAAGTTATTATTTTCTACAACTTGTCACCCACAAACAGATGGACAAACTAAGGTAGTTAATCGAACTATGACTCAACTACTTAGGACAGTGATCAATAAAAATCTGGAATCATGGGAAGAGTGTTTACCGTTTATAGAGTTTGCATATGATCGAGCTACATATTCTACTACTTCATTTTCTCCTTTTGAAATTGTTTATGGTTTTAATCCACTAACACCTATGGATTTAATGCCTTTGCCTGTGCATGAACGAGATAACTTGGATGGGAAACGAAAAGCCGAGATGGTGAAAACACTCCATGAAAAGGTCAAGATGCAGATCGAAGAGAAAGGAAAGCTGATTGCATCAAAAGCAAATAAAGGAAGAAGACGCGTTACATTTGAGCCTGGAGATTGGGTCTGGGTGCATTTCAGAAAAGAGGGTTTTCCAGAACAGAGGAAGTCAAAATTGCAACCATGAGGCGATGGACCGTTTCAAATCATCGAGAGGATCAATGACAATGCATACAAAGTAGATTTACCTGGTGAGTATAATGTTTCAACTACTTTTAATGTATCTGATCTCTCTCTGTTTGACGCAGGTTCAGATTCGAGGATGAATCCTTTTGAAGAGGGAGAGGAGATATGATCCAGGAATCAAGCCCGACGAAGGCAAGTGCGAGACGAGACCCGTTGATAGTTGATGGCGGACCAATGACGCGATCAAGGGCAAAACAAATGAAACAAGCGATGGGATTGCTCGTTCAAGAAACCATTGATGGAACCATGTTCGGGACTCGAAATGGAGCAACTTTCATGTTCGGGTCGAAGGCCGAATCAACTTGGATCAATTTGTTATCAAGTGACGAAAGCGGAGGCTAAAGACAACACCATGCGGCTGCACAGGCAAAACCACATGCGGCCACACACATGCATACCGAAAACCAAAAGTCCAATTCCAGATGAACCATGCGACCGCATGGATTTACACCATGCGGCTGCACAAGCCAAAAAAATTGGCGAATTTTCTAATTTTGGCCGAATTTCCTAGTTTCGATAGATTCTTATGAAATCAAATTATTACCATAATTTGATGGTTTTTGACGTTTTTATTCATTAGTATAAATAGGAGATTACTTTTCATTGTAACAATTTTGAATTTTTGACTTTTGAATTAATATTATAGAGAGAGAAATTTATTCTTTTAATTTATTGTTCTTCTTGAACAATTTTGTAACTTATCAAGAATCAACTTCTTATAACGTTCTAATCAATCGGATTGTGGGTTCTTTCAATTGTAATCAAGGGGTTTTAAGTTTTTCGCTAATCTAGGGTTTCTTGGTTCAATTCTTGAAGTTCAAGATCCAAAATCGGGTTAGTATTGACATTCTTGGGTTCCGCATCAATTTCATTGTGGGTTTCGTAGTTTTCATTGTTACGGGGTTCGCATCATCCATCCACCCATATCAAATGGGCATCACAAAACACAATGTGGCAGAAATTATCATCTGATGAAGTTTCTGATTTTACAAATTTTCACTAAAAAAAAAAAAAGATTTTCATCTAAATTTTGGGAAGGCATAACTTTCTCATCTCAAGTCCAAAATTAATGATCTTTATATCGTTAGAAAGATCTTGAGAAGATCTATCCAATCATATCAAATAAGACTCATAAAACATGACGTGGAAGAAGTTATCATCTGATGAATTTTCAGATTTGACCGATTTTTCATGCAAAAATCAGATTTACATACAAACTTCGAGAGGTCATAACTTTCTCATTTGAAACCCAAAATTAATGATCTTTATATCATTGGAAAGGTATTGAGAAGATATATCTAACCGTATCAAATGGACAGTATGAAACTTAATATATAAAAAGTTATCACGTAATGAAGTTTCAGGTTTTATCAAGTTCCATGCAAAAAATTCAGATTATTGTCCAAATTTCAAAACCTCATAACTTCTTCGTTTTAAGTCCAAAATTTGAGTTCTTTATATGGTTGGAAAGCTTATGAGAAGAGCTTTCTAACCATACTAATCTTACTGCATGAAGATGAACGAACGAATGGCAGTAAATTATCAAATGATACCACTAAATACCACATAAGGTTTCAAAACTTTGCATACAAGATTCATAACCCAATTCTATCATGTAATGGCATAATTAAACATGAATTACCGCAAGGAATTCAACCTAATGGCTCTGATACCAATGTAGGAAAATCGTAGCATGCTCTGACATGAATTTCGGATCAACAAACTTACTTGAAATGATGAATTTCAAGATCTTTGTGTGGTTGAATCATCTTACTTTCAAATTTTCAAAATTTGTATTTTCTTGTACTCCAATGATCCAAATCCCGATCACAATGGAAGGGGGTTATTGTCCACAATCTAAGTGCCATTTCTTGTGAGATTTCATGCCAAAAATGTGATTTTAGGAACTTTCCAATTTTGAGGTGAATTTTCATATGAAATTTTCACCATTTTTCTCATGTCTTGCATTTTCCCCTTCTTTTCCATAAGTCCCTCCAACCCTTATAAAATCTTGCAGGTCGAGTCACCCCACATGGACGACCCATTCTTCGTATTTTCCAACAAATTTAAATTCAGTGGTCATGCGGAAATTAATCATTCTTGTCAAATAAGGAAGATAATCCCCATGCTCGAAATAGTAATAAACCCAAATCAATTATATATTTATCCATTTCTTACAACATATTGAGAAAAGGTCATCCGATTTTTAATTATAAAGAGAACCAAGCTAACAAGCATTCTATATGATGAAAAACTAGACGTGAGATGATGAGAATGTTATGTACGTAGTACTAACTAGTTATTTTCTGTTTCCTAAGCTTACTCAAAACTCAGAAGTTGAGTACATTTAAAAAGTCACACCAGATGATAATAAAAAAAAAATATATAATAATAATAATAATAATAATAATAATAATAATTTAGAAGCAAGCTATTTTCCTTCTTTTTTCTTTTCTTTCTTTTTTTTTTTTTTTCCATCTCCATCGCCTCAAAAAAATCCTCTTCGGAAAATATTGTGTAGTGTATAACAATTTTGGGGCTAACAAATCATGACAAGAAAATAATAATAATATATTTTATTCTTTTAAATTTTCGTTAAAAATAAATATTTTCCTTTTAAATTCAACTATTGAAGTGAGTGAGCAATTTTGTCCGATTTTTTTTCCCAGCCTTTAAAACATTCAAAGTTCATCACAATTTCTTGATCACCAAAATTCTCAAACCCTTCTTTAAAACTTCTCTCTCATTTTATCTCATTTTAATCTTTACATAAAAATCTTTAATTCCTTCACAGCATCAACAGTCAAAGAAATTAAATGTTATCCAGCAGACAGGATGGCCTTTTGGAGCATTTCTTCCTATTTCTCACTCCTTGGCCTCCTGTCTCTCATCCTTCTCCACCCTATAATCACCATCACCACAGGAATCCGCCTTCATGTCAACCGAAAACCGTCCTCCACCATCATCCCCCCCTTCCGCGAGGCGCCGGCTTTTCGCAATAGCAATACATGTAGCTCAAATGTAAAAGATAATATTCATATTGTCATGCCCCTTGATACAAATTACATTCGAGGTACAATGGCAGCTGTTTTATCCATATTGCAACATTCAACTTGCCCCGAAAATGTGTCATTCCACTTCCTATTGGCTCATCTTGAGGCCGAAATCTTTTCTTTGATCAAATCTACCTTCCCTTACCTTACATTCAAAATGTATCGATTTGACTCAAATATGGTTCGAGGAAAAATATCCAAGTCCATTCGACAAGCCTTGGATCAACCACTAAATTACGCACGTATTTATATGTCTGACATTCTTCCTCTAGATGTCGAACGTGTTATATACTTGGATTCGGATATCATTGTGGTAGATGACATTGCAAAGCTATGGGGAGTTGATTTAGGTGACAAAATATTGGCTGCACCAGAATATTGCCATGCAAATTTCACTAACTATTTTACAGACACATTTTGGTCAGATGTAAATTTGGCATCGACGTTTGAAGGGCGTAGGCCGTGTTATTTCAACACCGGCGTAATGGTGGTGGACATCGGCAAATGGAGAAAAGGGGGATATTCGCTGAAGGTTGAAGAATGGATGGCATTGCAGAAACAGAAGAGAATATATCAATTGGGGTCATTACCACCTATTTTGCTTGTTTTTGCAGGAAACATTAAGGCAGTGGATCATAGATGGAATCAACATGGATTAGGTGGCGATAATTTTGAAGGCAATTGTAGAAAGCTTCATCCTGGACCAATTAGCCTACTACATTGGAGTGGCAAGGGTAAACCATGGTTAAGATTGGACTCGAGGAAGCCGTGCACGGTCGACTATTTGTGGGCTCCATACGATCTCTATCGTTCTTCTAGAGTTGCATTGGAAGAATGATCAAAGGATAAACAGAAGTATGGAAAACTGTCCAAAGAAACCTGCTTATTACCCGTTTTAAAGATAAGACTCGGGATAAGTCATTTCCTTGCATTGAATGAAATGGCTTACACAAATTGGGAATGCAAGGAATGAATTGTGCTTTTTTGAAGAAGACTAATGCACAATTTAGGTATAGCATAGATTGATTTTTCTCCTTTTTTGTTAGGTTGTCTTCTTGTATTAAAATGTATATTGTGACAGTATGTATCAACATCAAGTTTTAGAGCCGACGTACGCGATCCGAGATGGCTGTACATTTTGAGTCTATATACAGAGCCAAGAGTACCATTATGTTGTGTTCGGTATGTTCTAAACATTATTTAGAAAATAAGATGTACATGACATTTGTTCATCATGATGTAGTCCAGTATATAAAACATGTCACGATAAGAACTTGATCTACAAGCTCTATTCTTTAGGATCACCTTTCACAAAGCATATGCATATAGTAGCCTCTATAGCAGTTGGGACATCCAATATTTTTTGGGAGAAAATAGACGAAGCTTTTATTTTGCGGCAAATTAAGAAAGGCGTAAAAGAAGAATATTCGATCAGAAAACATTTTGATCACTCGGGATATTGCGATCCAGAGAAACATGTTACAAAACTCTGATTAACAGAAACTAAACCGAGGCTCTCAGCTCCTATAAAACTAGCCAATTGTCCATGCTCAAGTTTCCAAACTAAATGTCAAACAATCTTGTTACAAAGATATAACATAATGAAGCTCAATTGGTCACAACTTTTCGTAACAAAAAACTAAAATCTTCTACCAAAAAGAGAGAGAGAGAGAGAGAGAGAGAGAGAAAAGATTGCCTCGTAGAAACAAGATGTTTGAGAATTGCCACTAACCCTCTACACTTTTGGTGTGGCCACCACTGGGCACTTACCCAATGTATTCCACAAAATATATTCCCCCGAAGTAACCTGGTGCATTCATACAAATGCAAGAAGTATTTAGAAGTCCATCAAAATGCAGTTAATGTTACAGAACTTAGGATGCAGATTTACTGTAATACAAAGAAACGGAAATATTACAGAACACCCAAATGATGTTTGACTAAATTTATAAATAAACTTCACGTACAATTGACATTTTTTTTATGTCTGGTCAAGTCTATAAGTTTCTTTCTTCTTATAAGCAGAAAAAGTAATGTCCAAATTTTAGGACATAAATATCCTTAATAATTTGATAAATTACTCACATCCTAACACCCCCAACCCGGCCCAACCCCCAAAATCTCCCCCATTTGCAGTGGATTAAGAAAGTGCTTGAATATGTATTTGATGGCATATTTTATTTCTTCTATTCAGGTTAGATATTGAGAAGATAAATTTTATTGTCAGCTCAAGTTATGTAGAAAAATTATTATAGGTAGAATCAAACCGAAATCTACAGTTCAGGTTTGGTTCGGTTTTAGTAATTACATTGACCCAAATGGTTCCACTTATGAAATAACCGAAGTTTAATGGGTGGTTTCAAGTTTAGAGGTCCCCGAACAGACCAACCCGACGCCCAGTCTACTCCTGCCAGCATTGCTGCCCATATCCTAACCTACTTTTCATTCTCTCTCTAACTGTTCCTTCTCCAAGACAACTGCTGGCCAGGGGCACAGCATGTTCCCCTTCTTTGTGGCGATGTCTTGCGACGTATATCCTCATCCCCATCACCCAAAAACCCCAGTTCTATCTCAATTCCTCTCTACTGTCCTCTCCACCTTCCTGCCACCATCGAGCCCTAGCTCACTAAATCATGCCCATCTCAGCCTTTCTCTGCACCACCGACAGGCCACATTTCCTCTACCACTGCCACTCTCCCCATCTCCACCAGCCACCTTTCAGCAAAGAAGACCAACCAGTAGATGAAATTATTTTCTTAATTACATTTACAATCACTTATATTGCAATGTCTCTAAAACTGCATTCAACTAGCCTGTGGACGAATTGTGTTTGAATAATTCGATTGCATAACAGCAACAACATATCCTCCTTAGTCATTTGGATCCTATCAGCTTATAAGCTGGTTTACCAAAACATAAAACTTCTTAATAAGAATAGTATAGTATTACATTTATCTAAGAAAAGTATCGCTGCTTACAATATTTTGAAAAGCTCCAAGTGGGTTACGCCTTGAGGAGAGCAGAATTTTATTAAATGAATCAAAACATAAGATTTGAGAGCCATTTTCAAGGTTTACTAATTGGTCTGTCGAGGCTTAAGCCTCAGGGCAACTAAGGTGTGCACTTGCAAGTTGTTTTTTATATCCTAGAATGTTTTAATACTTTTTTGGGATATTTTAAACACAACTGAATCCTAAAAACTAGAAATAAAGAATTAAAGGAAAGAGAGGAGAGAAAGAAACAAGCATAACCTAGTCTCGTACAATTTAATTACTATAAGCCCCTCTCCCAAGTAAAGCTTCTACTTTTGAGAGTTAGATGACAAGTGATAAGAGACCTATGACTCGTATATTCACACTTTTATTTCTTTTCTTATTGCATTTAGTTGTTCTTATTCTGACATTTATGGATACAGAGGGGAAGCAGAAGGATAATGCACTACTGTAAGCAAAGGATGAGGAAAAATATTGGAAAGACACAATAGTGCTGAGAAGAACGATCTGGGAACCAATATATTGATTGTTCTCTTAAAGATCTTATCAGTAAATGAGATTGAAGACCTTTAGTCTTTTTATAATTAAAGTAGATTACAATTTTGTTATGGGATTATTAATTTGACAGTTTACTATTTGCTACTTTATGGTGGACATATTTATGATTGTTTGCAAGTTAAAACTTGAAATATTTTAATTTGTTTTATTATGAAGTTTCAAGATGGTTTATGATTTATTACAAGCAGATATTTGTAATTTTTTGAATCATTTTATTAGTTCAAGTTGCGCCTCATGCCTTTCCTCACAATGGGTAAATCAGCTCGGTACAGAATTGAGCCTTTTAAAATATTGGCTACTCAGGAAGAAAATAGATTGATGATATTTATGAGTAACTACTTCGAAGTTTAAGTCAAACAAGAAGAACCTAATATTTAGAACCATTTGACAGTAATCATATATACCTGACATGAGAATTCCACAGGGGCCTTGACTGATGGAAATATGCTTACCTGCACACCACACTTTTAAACTTAGAAATCCAGAAACAAAAAAAAAAACAAACAAAACAAAATCAAGTATCAAATGAGAACGCAAAGCTTCAGTAGGGAAAAATATGGTTGAGCACTACTTGACAGGAAATCACAGTCTGAATGGAAAAAATCAAGGATAAAAAGGAAACATCTCAGAGGTGCAGATTAGCAAATGGAATAATGTCTGCCATTGCATCGTTAATATTCAGCAAGATAATGAAATTAATAGTTAATAGAATTTATTCGGAACCCAGTTTGTTTGACGTTCAAAACTAATAATTCCCAATACTTAATAACACTTTGAATCTTGACGATTAGAAAGGAAATTCTAATATAATATTACAATTAGCTTTTTACACACAAAATATATGAATTTAACTTTGTATAATAGATGAAAATATACTATCAAATATCAATTGCTGAGTTAAGAAGAAAATATCGATTAGCAAATACAGAAATTCATACAGAACTGAGCACAGTATAAACGGAATCCTAAAGACTGTTTTGGAGATATCATAGGGTGCCAAATTTCACCTTCATATAAAAACTGTGGGCATAGAATATATTATCAATTCAAAATGTAAATAAGAGATTCAAAAGATTAATCAAACGAAAAAATTACTTGGAGAGCTAAGCTAAGATGATGTTGAATATGAACGGATGAAAATGGTGTATGCATCACTAAGCTTCAAAAAAAAATTTTGGTGGCAACATGTAAATCAGATTTGTGTTGGAAAATATACTTGCTTTAGGCAGAAGTAATTTTGAAACAAAAACAAAAAACTCATTCAACTTTAGTTTAAAAAGACGTTAAGAATACATTTGATTGTCAATATTTTTCATGGAAAATATTATTTTTTTCATCCAAAATGTTACTTTTGTACTGTTTGATTGATATTTTTCCTACTTTTGATCATGTGATCATATATTCGTCGAAATCAAGGAAAATATTTTCATCAAAGGGAGTAGATTTTTATTTTTCAGGCAATTCACTCTCTTCCTCTCTCGTCTACCCTCTCTCATCAATATAAAAAATGGACAAATATAACATATTCTAGATTAAAAATTAAATCAATCAAACACATTTAATTGATAATTTCCAAGCAAATAAATTCTAGGCAATTCTTCTTTCCATGTAAATTCCATATTTGTAATCAAACACACACTAAGAGATCTCTTAAGAAATGAGATTTTAGCATGCATTTATGTTTAAGGATTAATGAGTCATATAGTGATATACAATATCCCATCTTTTGTGTTGGTAATCCAAACACTGCGAATGTGATGAGATAACAAATGCAACTTAGTTATGTTGATTTAGCCTATGTTTGGCCTCCATTTTCCCAAAACTCATTTTCGCCCATGGATTCTCCTATAAAATAATTTTACACGTAAATAAAAAACTTTCCCTTATTTGTTAACTATACATTTTTCAAAAAATAGCTTTTCAAAAACACATTTCACCCCTAAAATGGGGCTCAAACAAGGGCTTATTTATTCCTTTCTCAGATGCTCATTGCATTATTATGATACTATATTATGATAATCTCTAGCATTTTTCCCTTTCAATTTACTTCGAAAAATCCATAAGAGAAAGGCCTAAGCTTTGGGCTTTTCACGTCCACCTGTTGCCTTTAAAATGCTTTTTTAAATACTAAGGGCCCATTTGGATGACTTTTGCCTTTTGTTGAAGAGCTCCATGATAAAACTACCTTCAGCCAACTGCCTCCGAAGGCCCTACTGGCCAAACAAAGTACTTCCAATAAAATATCTAAATAGTTTCAAATATAGCTTCTTAGTGTTATAAATAGCTTTTAGCTTTTCAAAAACCTTGCCAAACAAGCCATATGAGAGAAACAGACGTTTAAATACAACGTGTAGGGAGAGATTAAGATGAAGTAGTTGTAACATTTTATTTTTGTTTCTTTTGGGGAATTAACATAGTTATATGGACTTACAGATCTAGGATCAATAGACATTCCTGATAAAGATGGTCCCACAATCTTGAAAGATACCTGCAACCACAAAAATAAATGCTCATTTCAGCAAAGGCTGTTTTTCCGATACTAAAGCAGTTTTGTGAAAGAAGTTCATCATATTTTCATCAATTACTGTCATTCAGTACAGGTGAAACAGCAATGTAATGAAGATTTTTCAGTTGGAGACAATAATGAAATTCAGCCAAATGCCTCATTTTGATACTTATTATCTTATGAGTAAATTTCTTTTAAGCTTAGTCAAATATGCACATGGGAAGTGACAGCAGTAAGGAAAACACATACTTTGGCATAGTCGTATGCCTGCCAGCAAAAAGGCTCATCTAGATCTACTGCTTGAAGGTCCTTGTTCATTTTATCCATTAAGTAATCCTCCACATTTACAATGTTACTACTGGACTCTGTTTCAAGATCACTGTCTTCATCAGCAACACCAGTATATGCAGACACAGAGGAATTCAGCCTTTGAGTTTGCCATGGAGCAAATTTAACAGTCCCAGGAAAAATTGCCTCAATGCTCTTCCCAGAAACTCCTCGAGGACCGGTTATTATTTTCCATTCAACTGAATGTTCAGTGGTGGATACTGTTCCAACAGAAGGCATCCCATCAAAGGAAACCACCCTTCTCCTTGGAAAAGGCATAGTCACAGTACAGAACTCCATTGTTAGAGGAGCTTTGTAACCTTCCATGAGGGTCAGCTTAAATAAAAATGCACCTTCATTTTCAGAGACCATTGAAAGCTGATAAAAACCCTTTACTGGAGGCCCAACAGAGCAAAAAGCCTGATAACGCATCAGAACAAAATTTCCCAATGGCGGTGAAAATGTCACAGCCTGCTTATCACCCCCATGCTCTGGAACTTGAGCACAAGGATGAAAGGATAATGACTCAACACGAGCAGTGTCCAACCCTGTCAATGGGAACGAAACATCAGGCAACCCTTCTAAATCTGCCCGGCAATTCACTTGGCCAGAAATCGATATGCTATCTGGAATCTCATCCCTATCATACATTGCAGCATGAACTGTTTCATGAACTGTAAACAAAATCCGCTGCTTCCCCCTGTAAAGATAAGGCTTCCATGCTGGTTGCTTGCGGTCTACAGGAGGCATATCTGCTGAAGAAAAGCCTGCAGTCTTGATTGCAGAAATGTTTGAATAGCTGAGGTCCAGGGGAGTACCTGGATCAAGGAGAGGAATGTTAAAAATAACAAACAAAAATGCGGTGAACCACCGCATAGGTTGCATAATAAATTTAAGATGAGGAATACCACAATAAAGAATACCGACCAAAAGGCATTGCACTACTGATGAAAGAACGAAGTGCATCTTTGTCCAAGGGCCTCGAACCTATTTTTTGAGAATCAGACATTGCAGCTCCACTCACAGCAGTTCCGGAAGCAGTGGAGGCTGCAACAGATGCTGCTACAGGTTTGGCTCTTGCTGAGATACCTGAAATCCCTATACTGCCAGTGAGGGAATCCAGCAGTCCTCCAACTGATGGAGAGGCACTCACGAATACTTCAGGCTCTGTGATGTCACCTGTTATAATGTCTCCTATTGTATGTGCCACAATAAAAGCCCTGAATTCAGGAGAAACCAACAAATTATGATGTGTCTCATTCAGCAAGTAACTATTATTGATGTCATTAGAACAAATAACATATAAATAAGGAAACTGGTTCATTCTGCATGAAAGAATGTTTTTAGATAAGTCAAGTTATAAGAGCTAATAATTATACTTGGAAGATAATTTGGTTGTAAAAAAAGCTTGTAACATTTGAAAGAGACTGCAAATGAAATAGTGTTATGTATATTTGATTAACTGTGGAGAAAAGGAACTATGAGAAAATAATTTATGAATGAATTCATGGCAGAAGCTGCAGAACTGCTGGTAATAACACCACCTCCCCCCAATAGTTATAGCAGATTGGACAATAAGATCTCTAGTCCATGTTTACGAAGATTCAACCAACACATGGTGCAGCGCAAACTAACTCTTGTCCCCAGTAAATTTGGGATGGGCTATACGAGTCATTTTTCACCACTTCATACTTTCCAATTTTACATTGCCTGAAAGACTCAATCAGAGCCATTCCACATGAGGTCAATTAATTTTGGACTCTCTCTCCCACCTTTAATAGTTCTATTGGGAACACATCACTTTAGTGAACAAGAAATTTTGTTAGATCTACACGACATGTTTGAATTACCTAAGTCATCATTCTAATTCATCATCCGTCTCTGTCAATTGAGATAGGCATTTGACTGTATAAAAATCCATTAAATCCAAAATTAACACAAGAAACCATTTACCACTTTAACCAAAAATGACTTCGAGTAAACCACTATGCAACAAAAGCCTTTTTCTTCCCTTTTCACCTGAGTAAGAATTAGTTTATTATTCAGCCAAAATGTGGGGGAAGCAGAGAAAATACCTAAACATGAAGATTTCGCAATTAAGAAGCAGCTTGTGAATGCATCTCTTATTACATATCAGTGACTATAATCAAAATCCCAAAATCCTTACAAACAGTAAATTAATAGCTATAAATAACAGATGTTTACAAGGAAAGTATGTCAACACAGCACCGTGAGTATAGGAGTTGTAAACTAGATATTTGACTGAGTGCACAATTAATGAAAAAAGGGAGGGATATTTTACCCATCTCACAGTGAATAGCAAGCCAGAGCCCACACCACAAGTAACAAAACAAACCGAAATTATTTACATAATAGTTCCAGCTTCCTCAGCTAATGATAGAATGTAGTAATATAGAGAAAACCAACTTATGCAGAACAATTTAGTAAGAGAGAGAGAGAGAATCATTGATATCTCAAAATCCAAGATTGGGACAAAAACAAATGTGTCCAAAATGAAGAGAAAAGAGTGAATAGAGTACTAAAAATATAGCTTACCGTACCCTGTGATGGATGGAAGATCAAGCAAGAGGGAAGATAAACTTTCATCTTCTTTGACAGAATTTCCACAATCCGATCTTTTGCACATTCTTGCATAGGATTTCAAATGATGAGGTTCAACTAACGGCAGAACAAGAATGCAGTATGGACCCTTCATGTGCAAAACTAAAGGCCATAATAGACAACCCTCGCTTTCCTCTTCTTTATTAATGTAAAGACTTATAATATGACGGGTAATTGGATCGTCGACCCATGAATCCGATCCTACAACAGATTGACTGACACGTAGGCCATAGCCCCTGGCAGATCCCTCCCTAAATTATATAGATTCAACCATATCAACCAATCATACGTATTAAAATATTAAACACTGACAGGAATGCATAGAAAATAGAGATAATATACTCATTCTGTCTCATAAAGATAGGCTTGCTTTCCTTTTTCGTCTGTCCCCAATTATAGGTCACTTTCCTTGTTGAGAATATTGTAGATTTCTAGGTTTTCTAAAATACTTTTATTTAATGTGTCTTGTTATCAACATATATGAACTACTGATATTCAAATCATTATTTCGTGTAGGGGTAAGATTAGAAAAAATGTAAGAAAAATTATATTTTTTCCAACTATATTAATTACATTTTTTTAATCTGCATGAAAATAGAAACAAGTCTATCTTTGTTGGACGGAGGGAGTATTAAAGAAGAAAATTTGACACCAAATTGTTATCGTCATAAAGATCATCAACAATTATTCCATTCTTCATAGAATTTTTGAAAGAGACATATTTATCTTGCAAAAAATAAATTGCCAAAATAAACTTTTTTTTTTTTTTAATGACCGCGAGTGTCTGAGCTAGCTTACGGCATCTCGACTACTCCCACAGGACACTGAAATTTATAGTCGGATACTCATTTCAGTGACCCTGAGGGGACCCGAAACTGTTGACTATTAGGGAGCATACCCAAGGCCTGACCATTGAATTAACCCTTGGGGTTAAATTGCCAAAATAAATTGAATAAACATAGAAGATCATAACACTCTGAGTTTGACATATCCAATCAACTAATATATGCAGTTAAAGAAGCGAAATGGCAAATCATAAAAGATCTTAAAAAAGAGATGCGCTTAAGTAAAAGTCCTTTTTTAATTCCCATCTCAAAATTTGATATGCATCAGCGGAAAACATAACATAGATTCCTTCTAGTCAATTATGTATACAATATATATCATACCATTTAAACTAAGATAAATTTTAACTTCTATATCATGCAAAAGATAAAGCAAGAAACAATGCAATTCGAACCCAAATCATCCTTTAAACTCATTTTTCATCTAACTGAGATAAATTTTACATACATAATACAAAGACTCTTCTAAAAAGATACCATAACTCATGATCATGCACGTCTACTAGTCTCCAACAGTTCGATATTCCAACTAAAAACAGAGTTTTCATTTATTAAATTGTTTTTGCTCAAAAATCTTGTCATTTACTTCAATACATAATTCTAGTGAAAAGTGAGCTACAAATCACAGTGAACGAATTGAGAAAACACACTATCCAAAAAAAAATGTGATTTAGCATGAAAACCACAAATAAAAAAGTATATATTTCTTTCATTTAAGAATGTTTATGGAAATCCTTTCCGAAAGGTACCTTACAAAAAATTGCCTATAAAGATTGTATTTTCATATAATCAATTGACAATAAAAGTAAAATTCTTATTTCTAGGATCAAAATTAACCTCTTTTTGCGGTCAACAAACGCAGCAGCGAACTCTGAATCATAAGGCGCTATATTATACTTAAATTTATCGTCACCGGAGCTTTTAATTTCTTTCTCACATGCGACCCGCCACCGCTTCTCCACCACCGGAAATTTCCTATTAAATATAATAAAAATATAAAAAATCAAAATTACTGAAAACTGAGCTTAATTTAAACTAAATAAAAAACAAGCACCTTGAGAAAATAACAGAATCTTGATTGTTGAGAATCCAGAGAGCCCTTATGCTGCAATTACTGGGCATTTTATTTTATATCAATCTTTCAATTTCTGAAGTAATTTCTCTTCTTTTCTTACTTTTTTTTTTTTTTTTAATTGGGCTTGGAGCTTTGGTTGTGAGATTTGAAGCAAAGCTGTGAATGGTGATTTTCATTTTTATAAGCTTTAATGGCGACTATCTTTGCACACACGTTTACTGCAAATTAACCAAATGCTCCCATTTTTCAAAATTTATTTTAAGAGTATGTTCTCCAATAAAATAATTTTATTAGTAAATTTAATTATTTTTATGTTATTTAATAAAATAATTTATTAGTAAATTTAATTTTTTTAATTTTTATTTTTATTTTTATTTTTATTTTTTAACCACACATTTTTCAATAAAATATTATTCAAAAACAAAAAAATTACTTGTACAATGTAGCTTTACAATGATAGCTTAAAATGCGACGTGGCAAGAGGCAAAATGGGAAAAACCGACAAAAAATGACAAAACACATAAAATATGGAAAACCGCTGTTGGACTTTATTCTTGTTTTGTTTTTATCATTATTTTCTCTTATTACCAGTGGTCGAGCTCTCTAGTGTGTTGAAGGAGAGATACAATGTTGGGTTGAGGAAATGATAATCTGACTTTATTCTTTTTTTTTTATCATTATTTTTTCTTATTACCAGTGGTCGAGCTCTCTAGCTGTGCTAAAGGAGAGATACATTGTTGGGTTGATGAAATGGTAATCTCCAAACAATGAAATTGGTTGTATTGTTGGGGAAAATGTTGGCATGCATCTGTAAATGGTGGACTCAAGCTGGGTAGGCACGCCATTGCTGAGAAGGTGAGTCTCCGACGGTGTATTATAATGTCGCGTGAGAAATTTTGGGTGGTTTTGTAGATATGGTGTTTTGTAAATGGTGAAGGTACACCGGATGCCATCGCCAGGAAAGTGAGTCTCCTACCAAGTCGAACAAATTTTCTAGGGGAGGAGAGCTTTTTCGTACAATATTAATCGTGTATGTGTGCTTCTGAACGGGGTGTATCAAGACACCATTTTCATTTTGCCGCCATTTTTGAAGTTCCCGTAGCAGAGTCAATTATTGTTGTCTTTATCTTGTCGGAAGCATTTTCGATTTTTTTTTTTTTTTTTTGCCCCCCTTGCCAGCTCACGTTGTTAGCCACCATTGTAAAGCACCATTGTACAAGTAGCACCATTGATTCAAAAATGCATTTTGTCCAAAATTTGGTACTTTTAAACCTACGTTCTTAACTTATTTTTAATCAAGCAAATTAAACTTAAAAAAAATATATCTTGGACAATGGGCGAAAGCCCGATCCATCAACATCGTGTGAGAGAAGAAGGGCCCAGAGATCATTATCATTAACACAACCTTCATCTTGCTCAGCTTGACATTTTTGGTGAAAATGAGGACTTTCTTTTAGCTACTAAGTTTACAAGAGTTCTGACTTTTCCAATTTTGGGGAAATTGAATGGATTTTGGTTCTTCAACGCCTAGCTATTTTTCCCGTCTAGTCCCCCCATTGGCTCGAGGCAATGTTCAGGAAATTAAGTTTCTCTAAAAGAGCAACCGACCCTGCTTCTCCCATATGATATTCAAGCCTAGTATTAGGATTATGATTCCAAGGACAAGTCAGGCATAATGCTTTCTCAAGGGTCGTTCCACTTGGTCTAATTCCACGCCTTATGATGAAAGTGCAGTCGACGTGGTGAATCAGTTGTGAACGTTCAACTAAAGGCGTCTTGAGATCCCGGTTGCTTTGCTGGTAGGCCCACTTCAGTTAGGGGGGCATTGTCCCTCCATTATGGTATTTAATCGAATGGAAGTCTAACCTACTAACAAGGAACTTAAGCAAGGGATTGATTTATTAATATATGACCATCATTATGAACGCCAAACAACGCAGGTGCTGAAGAAGGGAAACAAGTGCTTTTCGGCAAGTAAGGTGATGAGAAGCCTCTGCCCAAGCGTCCAAAACCCTTAGAGAGAGGAATTGAACATCTAATCATTCCAAGGAAGATTCCCAATTTCATTCTCAAGTTCCTAAACTTACTAAATCTCGTCAAAAGAAGAAAGAGCACACAAACCAAGACCGTCTGTCCCATCTCATCTGGATTTGGCAAAAGTTGGGAAATATATTTTTTTTAAAAATCACCTATGGCAAAGGACCTAATCCCTTGAACAACTCACCCTCGTCCCATCCGCGAAGCGGAAGCTGAAAATGGGGTTGATCATGGTTAGCTAAAAGGGTGGAGAGAGGAGGCTCAGATAAGGGACGACAATCGTTCGGACTTGGTAAAGGTGCTCGGGATTCCTTTTTCACTTGGCGGAATTAAGAGATCTTTAATCCAAATGCCAATCTATAATGCGCTGAGTTGAAGAGAGAGCAAGAATCTACTTCTTTCAAATTCAAACCCAATCACACTAAATTCTATGATTTGGTTTCTTTTTCCTCAACCAATTGTGTCGTGTCAGCCTTGGTCTCTTGACTTATTTTTAAACCTATTTTCTTGATTTATTTTTAATCAAGCAAATCAGACTTTAAAAAAATAATAATAAATAAATTATTTTATTACTCAAAAAGAAATTAAAATTCATCTTTCTCCTAAGCACATCTAAACTTAGGATTTCAAGTAGGACTAGCCTTGTTGGATTTACAAACCACCAGTAGGCTCGCAGTTGGGAACCAAAAAAAAAAAAAAAATTAATTAATTAATTAAAAAAATATTATTGATCCATGAGATGGATTTTTTAAAACAAGTCAACTCGTGCTCAGCTTGCCCCTTACGTGAGGGTGGGTTGGTTTGTGAGGGGGTCAAGTAGTGGTGGCAATGGGCTCGAGTAGTTCGCCGGCTCGTGGGCTCGGCTCGCCTAAAACGAGCCACGAGCCGCTCGGGCTCGTAAAAAACGAGCCTAAGCAACGAGCCGAACCTATGAATTGATTGACGAGCCGCTGGCCGAGCAGCCACGAGCCCGAGCTCGTAGCTCGTCCAAAAAAAAAAATTATTTCAGTGACCAGAACGGCTCGTGGCTCGCCCCAAAAAAAAAAAAAAATTTTTTAAGGAAAAAAAAGGGCCCCTA